CTCTCCTTTTTTTTGCTTTTGTTTCTTTAAAAAGCACCCCTACCAGTGTCCCTTTGTCTCCTTTTTTTTTTTTTTTTTTTTTTTTTTTTGCTGGACTAAAATTAACTTTGTCGCAAAATAAAAGTCAGAAGAGTCCGAAACCGCCATTTCTAATCCGTCAGGGGGACAATTTTAGACTTTAGAAGTAGCGGCTAAGGTGAAATGTTAGTACATGTGGCTGTGATGGCCTCCGTCCAATCTTAATCCTGACTGTATTTTAGCTACTCTGGGCAAATTCACAACAGGAACAAGGACCACGTCTCTGTAAGCCGCAGATGTGCCGATTAGAAATGTTGTTGCACTTGTCTCACCGTGGAAATGGGTCAATGAAGCAGATTCAGGTTGCCTTGTTTGGCCTGCAGTAAAACCAGAGAAAGCCTGGAATGATACCAAAAGCATACTCTGCGAGGGGGAGAGCGATGAGATGTGCTTTACGCAGAACACCAAAAACAACTGTCCAGATGTTTGTTTTTCATCATTTCTCCCTCTAAATGAACCTGCTCAAGCTGAACTCTTTACTAGAACCACAGTTTTCCCATGTAAGCTAAAAAAGAATGTTTGGGACTCTTGCTTGACTTCAGTTTAATCACCCCACACTGTTTTCCTTATTTCTGGTTTGAGAAACGACGTCAAACGCTGCCAGAAATTGTGCTGGTTTGTATGTTATGCAGAACAATAATTTCCAGCTGACATCCACACAAGTGCCTCGAAAAAGGATTCACACCCCTTGGACGTTTCATAAGGTTGAAGAACAAAAATAAGGTCTTTGCAATGACCCAAAAGAAAGAGATGTTGGCAGCATCACGCTGTGTTGTCCCTTTCCTCAACAGGTTATAGGAAGCTAATCAGAGTTGATAGGAAGCTGGATTAAGCTAAATTCAGGGTAATCCTGGGAGAAATTAGGTTACAAAAGAGTCGTGCATGAGGAGAAGGTTCATCTTGCAGTGAGACGTTTATCCAATTAATCTGTGGCAAGACTTGAAATCTGTTGTTCACAGATGCGCTACTTCCAACCTGACTGGCATAAGCTTTTGGTCGCCGATTGCGAAAAGCGGGTAGAGTCGCACCTCAAAAGTCTTGCGGCTGTGACTGAGGTGGTTCTAAAATGTATCTGGAGGCTGGACACAAATGCACACCGCACTTTTCAGAATCCTCTTTCTTGAACGTTTTGAAGAGTCGTTTTCCGTCCCCTCACACTACTTTCTGATGGTTAATCAAATAAAATCCCAACAAAATAGACGGACTTTTATGAAAAAGATCAGAGTGTGAACATTTTTACCTGATCCTCTACATGTATACGTTTGGGTTCTTCCTCTGCGTGCTGTGATAAGACTCTCCCACTGCAGCAACTCATCCAAACCACAGTGTCTGACTATTATTATACAGCTCTAAATCTCTGCTTTTTCCATATATTTACAACCGAACCCCTAAAAGACGTCGATTCCCTCAGTGCGGTCAGTTTACGTCTCACT